TGTACAGCCCTATGGGTATCAGGGGATATACCCCCACAGTGCTTCGCCTGTCCCCCGTGGAATGGGCAGGGGGCCTCGAGCGCCTTCTCGAAGTGCTCGGGGAGTGCGCCGCACCTGCGGAGCTGAGGTCTAGCGGCACGGTCGACCACAGCCACCATCTCCTCCCCGTGGCGCTTTTGGTCCTTGTTCCTCTTATTGGGGCAACGCTGGGACGAGGCAGGGTCGTCGCCGCTGTCTCCACCACTGAGGTGGCCGGCGGTCTTAGCCTTGCCATTGAAGTTGGCCTGGATAGCCTCCTCATCGGTGGTGTACTAGGTGGTGACGTCCAGAAGCTCCCTCATCATGCGTGGGGTCTCGTGGCCAAGCGCGTGGATGAGAGCCTCACAGGTCATGCCACAGATGAAGGCATTGATCACGTCGGCATCGGTGATGTTGGGGAGCTTTTTACGCTTCTTGGAGAAGCGCTGGATGTACTCCCGGAGGGTCTCGTCAGCCCTCTGCCTACAGTTGCGGAGGTCCCATGAGTTACCTGGGTGGGTGTAGGTACCCTAGAAGTGGCCGATGAAGATCAAACGGAGATCGCCCCAGCAGCGCATGCTACCGAGCTCGAGCTGCTCGAGCCAAGTGCTGGTCAAGCTTGAGAGAAGCAGGGGAAGGTACTAGACGACGACGTCATCGTCCAACCCCCCGACCATCATGGCGAGATGGTAGTCCTCTAGCCAATGGTCTGGGTTGGCCTCACCATCATACTTGGATATGTGTGTCAGTGGCCAAAAATGCCTAAGGTAGGGTGCCGCCCGGATCGATGCTCAGAACGCCAGGGGGCCGAAATGATCCGAGGTGGCACCCCCGCCCTGTCACTCAGGGGTATGGGACTGCGCCTGAGTGTGGCACTTGGCCTCGATGGTGTGACAGACATCACGGTCGTCGTCGATCCGGTGGCGCGCGGGGGGACGCCGAGGAGAAAGATCACGCCTTCGCTCCTAACGAGGCTTGGTGCCCTAGGAACGTGGCCGGTCGGAGCTATTGCCGGAGGTGTCGCTGCTGCTTCCCCCTCCTATGGGGCATGAGCGTTGGAGCGGTCCTCATTGGCCGTGGTGCACAGCGCGACGCTAGAAGATAGAACTCTCGGCCTACCGCTTAAGGCCGACGCAGAGAAGCCGCTTCACCTCGTGCAGGCGCTTGTTGGTCTTTGGGTCTGGCGTGTCACAGATGTCCTCCAGCAGGCAGGCGGTGGTCGCCATGTTATACGTCGCACGGGAAAACAAACGTCGCTAGGAGCCCCCGTGCGGGCGTCGTCGTCGTCGTTGAGAGGGTGCACGGCTCATTGCCGCGCAAGGTCCTGCCTTTAGCGCTCGAGCTCTGCCTCAGCGGTCTCTAGGTCTACCTACCAAGCTCACAGGCGATCCCTTCTCCTGAAGGTAGACCGTGCGGTTGTGGGGACTCTAGTCTGGCGGCGTGAGCCTAGGTTCCTCCTCAGCAAGAACCTCACCATCGATGTGGTAGCACATGCATGGCGGGGCATAGCAGTCGATGTCATCGGAGTCATACTCCAGGCCGTCCCCTGAGAGGATCTCGAGGAAGGTGTGTAGCGAGGGGACGTTTGTCCCTACGGCACTGGAGAGGATGACTCTTCTTGGCGTGTCACGGATGATGAGGTGTTGTAGCTCCAGCTGGAAGGATGCCGCCGTATTCTAGATCCTGAACGGTAGGTCCAGGAGGTAGTACCAGAAGCGGTCAGATAGCGGGAGCACCTCGCCGGTGGTAATCTGGTGATGGACATTGGCCAGCATGTAGAACATCTGTCGGTGGTACGACATAGTGGGGTTCAGGCCCAGACCATGCCGGATCTGTCGGGCCAAGACCTCGAGATCTGCTCCTAGAAGTCTCGGTGGAGGAGGTGACACCGACAGCTCGTTGCTCGGCTGCGTGGCCCCATCGAGAGGACGAAGGTCGCCATAGCAGTCGGTGATGTAGGCCAGGCTCCCAAAGTTGAGAACCTAGCCAGGGGAAAAGACGCCTGCTGTGATGAAGAACTCGCTAGGGAAGCGGAGTCGCCATCTAGGACGGCGCCGCTTTCTCCGGCGATGAGGCAGGTGGCTCCGGCCATCGTAGAGCCTGAATCACACTTGACGCTGCCCCCTACCTGGCGCGCCAGCTGTCACGGGGTCAGAACCACGGCAAATATTGTTGTTTGAGTCGGTGTTAGAGTACGGGTCTCCGGTGGCTCGGGTGGACTCAAGAACACATGAATCACAACAGCTGATGATCCTTATACTTAAAAGCACCCAAAATCAGGGGGTTACAACAGAGTGTAGAGAGAGATTTGGTAGGGGTTAGCTCAGTGCTAATCCTTAGGTCGCCTCATCGTCGATGGAGCCTTCCCCTCGTCGGAGAGGAGGAACACGATGGGATGCAGTGGAAAAGCTCTCGGTGCCCCTCTCTCTGGGTTTCCCTACCCTTGGTGCTGGGTAGGAGCGGACAAAATGAAATGGAACGATCTATCTTGGATCATCCCTTCTCTCTAAGTCCAACCTTATCCCTTATATAACGAGATAGGTCGGGTACATGGCGGTTTGGGGAGATGAGTCTACGGTCTACATACGCCGGAGTCCAGGAGGGTCTTGCAGCGGCGCTCTGTGGGCCGTGCAATGTCGTGGAGGCAAAGAAGCCTTGGGCGTCGTCTGGCTGCTCTGTTCTAACACTCTGCGTGTGAGGCTGTGTTGGCTTGGACCAGCCTACCCTAGATGGACCTTCTGGAGTCTTCTTGGTGGCGAAGGAGGTCAGCTTCAGGGGCTGACGCGTGAGCCCAGGAGCCGCCCAGCCCCTGGAGGCCATGGGAAGCTTGTCTTCTTGTGCCACGCCCCATGCGTGACCCTATCGCGAAAGTGGCTGGCAAGGCCACACCCAGGGCACGGCATCTTGGAGCCCCCGAGCCTCGATGGCTCGGGGTTAGTCTCCTTGCGCCTAGGCCTTGGCTGGCGTCGCAAGCCAGGCAGGAGCCAAGGCCGGAGCTCGGGCGTGTCGTCGATTGGGAGTCTAAGGCTTGGGCAAGCCCCCGAGCCTTGTGCCTAGGCTTGGCCAGGTTTCTTGGTCGAAGGGTGCGCGCGAGCGTACCCGATGGGTATAGCCCCCGAGCCCCCGGGCGATCCTGGAGGGTTCGGTTGGGGGGTCCCTTCGGTCAAGAACCATTGATCTCGAGGCTTTACATACTCATATGTTAGGATCACGTCAACGAGCACGCGGACAGAAGGATGACGACGGCTGTAGGGGAGATGAGGCCGCGCTGGCCGTGGTGGAGGAGGGCCGGCGGTGGCGGTGGACCTCCTGATCCGTCCGACGGGAGGTCGCGCCGTCCAGGCCGGCGGCGGACCGGGAGCCAGAGCCGCTGAGGATGGAGGACGACGACCACAAAGCACGGGCTGAGGCGAGGAAGATGAGCGCAGTGGAGTCGAGCGCAGAAGAGAGCGTAGTGGAGTCGGGCACGGTGAATAAGGCCGTGACGGGTGAACGGGCATCTAGTTTTTTTTAATGGAGAAGCCGTCCGGACAGACGGACACCCTGACTGAAGCATTACCGATAAAAAAACTATTTTTTGTGTACAAGTCCCTGAATTCTTAATTATATACTCCAAAACTAAACACCATTAATGAGCATGAGTACCGGTGAAGCCGGTATGGTCATCTAAATGGAGGCAAGGGGAGGGCGTTAAGGGATGAAAAATGTGCCCTACTAGAATTTTTTTATCATAAATTCCGCAAGGAAAGACCTTCCTGCTACTTGACAATAACATGTTGCAAATTTTCCTATCGATAAGATTAACATGTTGCAATTTTTCCGATCGATATGAGCAAGAATATTTTCATGTGGACGCCGTGTAGATGCTAAGCGCACTAATTAGAGAGCTTTGGACCTCGATCAAACGACTTAGCAAGTCTGAAGACTATATGCAAATTAATGGTTTAGACCTTAAACAAGTTTGAAGAATGTTCAATTATAGTTCCTCTCTACTGTGAAAATATAGAAACATCAATCATGTCATCTTGTATATACATTGTTGAGTCAAGTTAAAAGTTTTACAATTAGAAACCTATAGACATTTAAAAATCAGAACGTTATTACACCCCGTGGGGGTACAGATAGAAAAATGCATGGTACAAATAAAAAAAAAGGTTTCGGCAACAACTTCTGCCGAGAAGCCGTCATAACACTGCATAGGAGGAAGAGCTGTTTTGGTGAATGATGGAACAAGAGCTGTTTTTAGGTCCGGAGGAACTGTAATTTGTGTGACTCAAGTGCTCCAGCTCTTCCAAAGGACTTGAGATGCTCCAGCTCTTCCAAAGGACTTGAGAGGAGTGCTACGGCTCTTTCGAAGGACTTGAGGAGCCGTGCCAAACAATCCCCGAGTAGTTTGTCGCATTTCACCCAGCTCCAAAAAGGACTATCAGGACTATATGACAATGGTAAATATACGTTGACAGGTCGACAGCAAATCAACCACAACTAACTTGTTTAGTCCTGCCTCTATAATGTTCTATTGTCAATTTCTAAGTACAAAAATTCCTACTCCAAAAGACGAAAAATGTATCGTCAGAAAACAGCAGTGTCGGAGAAATGTATCATACCCCTTTTTCCTCGTAAAGAAATCACACTCTTTTGACATGCACCTACAACTTTCTTTCTATCAACATAAAGATGCTTCTCAGATGGAGACCCAAACGATGATTTTCATAATTCTGACTCGCATGGCCAAAGTGCTCCTCTGGAGCTTTATTCTTTGTGTAAGCGCTTTATAAGGGGCACGGTGAAATCCATGGACGGTTTCAGATCTTCGCCAAAGTTTTGTTTATGATAATGCCTGCCACCTTCCACCAATCATCCTACATGTATGTCATCAGCCCAATCGCAACAGTTGCACATTTCCTCGTGCAAACCCCAGCTTCAGGCTCATCCATCTCAAGGCCACTCAAGAGCTTAGCTTCTGAGAAAGAACAATCATTCTAGTCAACCTCCATGCCATCATTTGAGCCTCTTGGCATGCACCTTACATGGACTATGGGCACATGCTCTTCAGGCTCAACATTGTTTCCACAGCTGCTTTCTCCCTTGGGGTAATCCAAAAACACTGCATCCTTGTACATCCAGTTCCCCGTCTCAAAAGAATATATATCATCAAATGGTTCCCCACATAGTGCACAGATACTTTGCCTCTCGTCTGCAGGGACCATAAACTCACACACTTCTTCTGTAGAACCTAAATCTCCATCAGATGCCTCAGTGCTGTCCTCAATTTCATGTGATCCATCAATGTAAATGTTCTTGCTAGGGTACCATCTTTTAGGTGCGATACCAGTATAGATAGTATCAGACTCCCTTGGCCCACAGCTTGATGTGTGCAAGCTCAGTTCTTCTTCAAGCCTGAACCTATTACCACAGGTTTTACACTGATAGCTTTGGTCATCAAAGAGGCTGCTAATCACGTGCTCATGGTACTTGCGAAGTTTCTCTGGCTTGAACTCCAGGCCAATGAGGTCACCCATCTTAGTTTCGATAGCTTTGGGTAACGAAGCGTTTGTTGGGGCAGATGAATCAGAATTAGATGACACCTTACCAACTGAAGGCTTCAGAGCCGGCAAAGGCACAGCTGAAGCTGTGACATCTTTAGCATTCATGCTTGATGCTTTATTTGGCTGTGATAGGACAGCATTGGATGAATCAGAGGCTGGCGAAGAGATTAATCCCTTTGCAACCAGGGAACTGAGAAGACTCGAGAGCGGCGCAGCTTTCTCTGCACTCTGTGTTGATGGAGGTGGTGGCAGACCCAGTGGCAGTGGTGGACGAGAAGTGTCTGGTGTCTGTGTATGCAAAGTGGTATTTTCACCAGCAGTATTTTGAAGTGATAAAGAAGCCACTGGAAGTGACCCACTTGGACCAAGAAGTTGTGCATCACTGTGGTTATTTGGTTTGAACCCACTCTTTATGAGACCAGCCAACAAATTACTAGCAGTTGTCAGATCTGAGCTTATAGGGGTGGAATCACTGGGTAAAGAGACTTCTCCAAGATGGGAAGGTCTGAACAGCGATGGAGAATTTTCACGCGGAAAACTTGCCTGCAATGGATCAGATGGCTTAATATGTGACTTTGACTGTAAGGTAGGGTACTTTTGTGTCTGCAGGGATGCCTGTTGATTAGGTTCATGAGAATCTTTAGCAAGTACTGGCAATGCTCTTTGGCTATATTCTTCTTGAGGATTTTGGCCCAATTGAGAAAATGATCTGGAAGGATAAAAATCAGACTCAGCAGGATTTGGAGAACCCTGACGTGCAAAAGGTGCAGTAGAAGAAGGTGAGTGAGCTTGTGGAGGGGAAGATGACCAATATCTATGCTTCTGCTGCCCAAAAGCTTCAGTTGATCTTATTGGCACACTATTTGCAGTATCTAGGCTTGACCTTCCAGCATAGTGTCCTGATAACCCAACAGGTACAGATGAAGTGATACTTGCTGTCATGCTGCCAGTATAAATGGTGGACCTCTCTGCTGGCTGATTTGAAAACCTTGATATCCTAGGGTCCAACCCAATGTCTGGGAGTGTTTTTTCCTGGGACAACCAGAGAGAGGAACCTCGAGGTGGTGGGAACTGTTGTCCTTCAGGCCTAATTTCCCTATCAATTCTTGCTTCCACCTCACGCTTGCCAAGAAGGTACTCTTCCTGATCCTGAACAATTGAAAATACAAGTAGTATTATAATACTTTCCAACAAGAAAGAAATTTTGCATTGTGCATGTTTAAAACATCTCTGGCATTATTATGTAGCGATAATTAGCATATCAATATTTACTGGATACTTAATATAATTTTCTTTCAATAATTTTGAGTCACATACCATGTATGCTGAAATTCTTCTTTCTTGGCCTGCTGCAAGTCCAAATCTTGACACATTATCAAGTTTATGTGTGTTAGGATCTATAAGTTCCACAGGTCCTGCCTCTGCCCATTTAGCCCTTTGGAGGCTTGAAAACTTAGCATTGCCATCATCAGACATCCATTCTCCTTTTATTACATTATTGCTACCACCATATTCTGCTGCTTTAGAGTGTACATCATCCCAAACATATTCTTCTTCCTCAGAGTGCTTCCAGCTTTTGTTAGATGAAGGCCTACCAACTCTATCGGCATTAATTGAAGGAGTTGGAAGAAGTGCACTATCCAAACGTACAGATCCTGATGGCCGAACATCCTTGCTTGCATAAAAGTTGCTGCGCCTGTCAAATTGTTCTTCAGAAGACCCAACACCAGAGGCATAATAAGGCCCCCCAATTCCATCTTGACCTTTGGGTTTTGAGCGAACTTGACCAGTTCCCACAGCAGCCTGCTGTGAAATGTTGGAGAATCCAAGGCCCCTCACATCTCTACCTGCCTGTTTTTCATGAACAGGATTGCTAAAAGGGTCCCTCTGAGTGCGCTGTATGTTCTGCATGTTACAGTTAAAAGTAGTATATTAGAGAAAAAAATGTGAATGACACAAGGAGCAGTGACAGTTTTCTGCCATTTTACATGAAGAGATGTCAAAAGAGCCAAAGAGATAGCAGCGAACTTACAGGTCTAGCATTAGGAGCTTCTAATCGTCTCCCTGCATTTCTATCAGTACCTAGCCTGTTAGCCCTCTCAATGTCATCGCCTGTATCAGCAATTACAGCTGTCTTAGCACCACTTCCAAGTATCCCCTGTCCGAAGTAAGGGAAAAACAGCATCACGAACAAAATCACAAAGGGTGCAAAAGAACATAGTGGCAGCTACAATGCTACACATGGTACATATTTTGATTACGTCCCAGAGGTCAAAGGAGTGAACAGGTGTATTAAGATAACTTGAGAAAGAATATCTTGCCTTAGTTGGTTGATTGAGTTGCTGTCTCGCTTCCAAATATTTTGGATTTACATGTATGCTATTGGATGGGCGCGGGGATTGAGAATCAGTCCTTGATGGTGCAGCAGTCGATGATCCATTGGCAGATGACTGAAAACCAAGTTCTTTCTCAATCATTTGGAGCGGAGGTAGAGGAAACACTCCTTTCCATGTTCCAAAAAGGTGCCTCATGCTATGATGTATAGCAGGATCTACTTGTTTATATGCCTTGCAGAACACCTAGCAAAAAAAAAATGAAAAGTACAACCAAACAAAACTTAGTTATTGTGATGTCCAAGTCACACCATCTCAATAAATAAATATTGTTTCCAGAGGTTGGAACCATCTCTAATCCCATATCAAGAAGATGGTACAGGATGAAATACTAACCTCTGGTAATCTTGCTGAGAAATGTTTAACATAATCTTTTCCAATATTTTTTACAATACTGTCAAGTAGATATAGCGATGGTAGTTTCTGTTCACTTGGAACCTACAGGGACAAGCAACCATCAAATAAAACAGATACACCCCCTCCATACATATAGTGGATAACAACTGCATAACACTATAGTGGATTATAGTAATACAGGGCAACAAGAAAAACCAAACGCTGATATGCCAAAACAATGTGGATTTCAAGACAAACACTGGTAGATATGATTTAACAACAGAACATATACAACAGTGCGAGTCTTACAATTCACACAACTACATAGCTGAGAAGGTTCAATGGTGTTTATTCGTGATTCCTTTTATCCGGTGACTAGGACTCGACCTTACTTCTGAAGAATCCAGTAAGTTTTCCTTTTAGAATACAACCAACAAAACAAAATGAGCATAGATAACATGCTGCCTCAAACCGTGTATGGCAGCAAGGTTACACAAAGTAATACACAAACCAAGTCAACCAATGCTCAGCGGTTATCCAGGAGTGTAAGGAGAAGCCCAGTGCAGGCCAAACTTGTGGCATATATTATGCTTCACAATTCCCTGTCTTTTTATCAGTGCATCGATATATTTTTCGTATGTACATGACGATGTATCATAAACTTCAGTTTGTAGTAGAACTTTCTGAAATCTGGAAACTTGGCGATTCAACTGATAGGATACACAAGTTGATAACTTTGTCACTGGTCAGCATGAGAACAGTATAATAGTTCCTGCAGCATGAGGACATAATCTGTACACAAGTTTGTGGGGAGCGTGGGAATGAAATGCTTTTGAAGCCTGGTTCGATGTTCAACCATGTTGCTGATAACTTATTTTGTTTTAGTACCAGTGGTAACTGTTGTAGCCCTCTAATTAGCAGAGGGTGGTTCAAACCACAATGTTCATATTTGTTTTGCCATGTCACAGGAGTCTGAAATTCATATAAACCAATGAACACTTGAGAAACGAAGTCGAGCAATGAACTTCGCATTTGAAATCGTATAAACCATGTATATTAGCATCACAAAAGCGAGCTCCGCAGACACAAGACAGCGAGAGGGAGAGAAATGAGATGGGGGGAGAGAGATTTCTCAGCAAAGATAGGTAAATCAGCATTTCCTTTTGCATCTATTGTACACAAAACAACTCGCTTCGCAACATCACAGTGATTGATCTTGATAGCTAGCATGGACACTAGTGTGTACAATGCACAGAGGCCTGGTAATCCTACCACACCACCGAGCACATGTGCTGTATCTAGCATAAGAGACAGCCAGTGGGTGTGTGCTTGCTACTACTAGATGGCGCCTTAGAATTACTTTTACATGGTGAATTGAGGAAGAAGAGAGGGAAGACGGCAGTTTGACGAGCGTAAGAAGAGTCAAAGGCAAAGGTCACCTCGAGGATGTTGGCGCAGATGAGGGCGGCGATGGGCTTGGCGGCCTGGAGGTTCTCGCCGGCGATGATGGTGAGGTTGGTGATGATGGGCTTGGAATTGAAGGTGAGCTCCCCGAGCGCGGTCCGGTACTGGCCGAGCAGCTCGTCGACCAGCGCTTGCTCGGCGGCGCTGGCGGCGCCATTGGAGGAGGCGTAAGATCTGGGGTCCCGCGACGGCGGCGGCGGCTGCGCGAGGCGCGGCTTCTTGGCGCCGGGGTCGGGGCCCGCGGCGGATCTGCGGGCAGAGGCGGAGGCCTCCATGGGGACCGCGGAGGCGGAGGCGCGTATGACCGGCGGGCGGGCGGGAAGCTAGGGTTTGGGGCGCATGGGAGAGGGAGAGAGCGGGGGAGCTAGGGTTTGCGAGGCGGGTCGCGTATTCGAAGCGGCTGGGGTCTGAGGATCGGGGGGAATGGATTGGGGCGTCAGCGAGGGAGAGGGCAAGTGAGGAGGAGGAGGAGGCAGAAGCGGCGGCTTGGCTCCGCTGAGGACAGTGGATGCAGCAGGCAGCAGCAGGTTTGATTTGATTTCGCGTCAGCGTTTCGGGTCCGGAGGCCGGAGGGAGAGAGACACCGGGAGGAAGCAAGGTCAGTTTAGTTTGTAAAAAATTTTGCATATTCTCCATCACATCGAATCTTTGATATATGCATGAAGTATTAAATATAAATAAAAAATAAAACTAATTACACAGTTTAGATGAAATCTACGAGACGAATCTTTTAAGCCTAATTAGACTATGATTGGATACTATTTGTCAAATAACAACAAAAACGCTACAATACTCATTTTGCAAAATTTTTTACATCTAAACCAGCCCAACATGAGCCGCGAAACGAGGAAGAGGAGGACGCAGCGATGGCACACTGATGTTGCCTTTTTATCACATGGCCCCTTACTATTTGTGGAATTTGTCGCTGGTGTCTCGGTGTGGGATGGTCGGATGGAAACAGTAGGTATAGACATCCCCCGAGGCACCACAGCCCGGCTCAAAGCATGGCATTTTGGCCCGATACGAGCACGGCACGGCCCAGTGAGCTGTAGGCTTAGGCTGGCATGGCCCAGTGAGCTGCGGGCCTAGGGCGGCACGGCCCGATGCATAGGGTCATGTCTAGGCCGCTCCTCAGGCATATTGGGTGGCACGGCACAGCTTGAAAAAAGCCGCAAGCTCTTTTAAAGCCGGATACCCCAATCAAATATTTACAAATTCTTATCCTCCATAACCCTACCTCCCTTCCCATCCCAGAAGACATAGCTGCCGCCACCCAAGGGCGAAGCTAGGCCAAAATGGCGCCGGGGTCAGGTGTAATACACGATGGGGTCTTTGCCCTTAAAGAACAACGCAAAACAGTAATTCCCACTGAGTTTGTATAAATTCACGGGTCAGCCGACCCCAACAGCAAAACGTAGCTTTGCCCCTGCCGCCACCTCTCATTTCGACTCCGCGGACGCGCCCTTCTCTCCCCCTGGTCGCATGCTTCTCTTCCTCTCTCGATGCTTCTCTCCGGTTCGCCTCCAGCACGCCTCCTCCGACCTCCGCAATGGACGACGGGCTCCTCCGTCCTACAGCCGCATGCCTCCTCCCGGCGCCTGGCTCGAGTGCTCGACAGACAACAGCCGCCTGCGTCCTGCTGATTTGCGGTCGCCTTCTCCTCCTGGCCCTGCCCCGACGGCCGAGGGCCGATGCCAATGCCCGCCGTGGCGCCGCCTCCACCCCCTCCGCACTGCTAGAGCGCACAAGCGGCAGGGGACGAATGCACTGGCGGCCATCCGTGACCTGCCTCTTCCTTGTGACGTGATGGCGGCGCTCCCCCACATGGCCACGCCTCAGGCTCCTCCCCCACGTAACGCTCAGCGGCAGGGAGACTTAGGGCTCGGGTTGGCCTAGCCTACTTCATCGGCCATGCTTTTCGAGCTAGCCCAGCCTAGAAAATGGCACATAGTGTCGTGCCTGGGCCAAAGGTCAAGTCCGTGGCCCTAAGAGGCACAGCCCGAGAGGTACGACGTGTCGTGCCGGCCCGACCCCCTTCGAGCTGTGCCGTGCTGGCCCGGCCCGTTGGACATCTATAATGATAGGAGATGATTTTCAATTGTTTAGAAATTTTGTATAGTTATTATCAGTTTATTAACTATTTATATTATATTAGTATAATGGGTTACAATATAGTGCTAAAAATTAGAGAAATCAAACTTTATACTTCATCCGTCCCAAATTATAAGACGTTTGGTATTTTTAGATTCATCATAGCTTTTAATATGTATCTAGACATAACATACAACTAACTATGTAGGAAAAGTTCTAAATCTAGAAAAGTTAAAACGTCTTATAATTAATTTGGAACAGAGGAAGTACTTAGTATGATCACAAACGGATATGACATCACTTTTATTGGTCAGAATTTTTTTATAATCATCGATTCAAATATTTACGTTACAATGTTAGTGCTAAAAATGGGAAAACCAAACTATATATGATTATGATCATAAACGGATATGATATCACTTTATTGGAAAGAGCATGGTCAATTACATTTTTTTATTTTAATCACTACTATGTTTTAACTTTTATATGTCTCCTTCACCTATGTTCTATCTTTATTACTTTCTCTCTCAAGATGAGAAGGCCAGTCTCATCAATTGTTGCTGCTGCCACCATCAATTTGCAGCATCATCCAAGCTCGGTCCTGAGTCCTGACCTTGTTGAGGCCGGGACAAGGCGAAGTTAGGGGACTCGGTAATTGTAAAATGTATTTGAGTTCGTGTCAGTTCGATGTTGGCAAGTACTTAAACACTAATAAACTATTTTTTACTATGCATTGGAGAGGAGTAAAATGTTCACGCTCTTTATCACGAGATTTTGAGTCTCGCATGTCTACCGTTTCACCATCAATATATCTCTTGAAAGTGAATCATGTTCCATTTTTTTAATCTTAGCCATTTCAGTCCTTTTCTTTATTTCCTTTTTTTATTTTGTTAACACGGTATAGGCACACACATGGATGACATAAGACCATCGCAAGAATGCACAACAGCACACACACGATTTTTATACAGGTTCAAGCCTCCTTTGTGCAGGAGTAAGACCCTACGTCCTGTTTGGCTCAATTGTATTGATTGATTGGTGTCTAGCCTATTACAGAGTAGTACACGGCGAGTAGTATGATGAGCCCTAGATTCACACGAAAAACTAATGATGCATATCGAAGTACTTATTACTTTTATGTATGTCATGAATTTGCGGTACCAAAATGAATTAGGGTTACCAAGATTCCAGCGTAATACAATTGTGGCCACAATTTAATATGAATAAATCAATTTCAAAGTAATTCAAATAAAATCATGAATTTACAAAATAAGGTATGAAAATTAATACTGCAACTGCCAACTGGTTTGAGGGATGAACCGGTTGCGTAGAGGACATCACCAGAACCGGTTCCTTAACTAGAACTAGTTCTGAAGGTGGTCGCCAGAAACGGTGTTGTCGATCTACAACTGATTCGGCTGGTAGCACCCTCAGAACCGGTTGTTGACAACTACTAGTTCTGGTGAATGTGGCATTCCAAAGGCTGAATGGCCTGAGTGGTAAATAAATTGACCTAATCAAAGACTAGGAAATAATAAAGAAAAGAAGAAGAAATAAAAAAAAAAAAGGCTGGACTAACCTTTCGGACGTGTTTGGATGGCCCTCCACGCACTCGCCTACAACCTCCCTCATCCAAGTTAGGCCATTACAGGATTTTCAACGTCCTGAGTTGGGCCATTTTTCATCCCGCTTAGTTAGATTATAGTTCTAACCTTGCATCCTCTCAACTAAACCCTACCCCATTATTCTCTCAAAAAAAAACTAAACCCTACGGTTGTTGGTTCAAAAAAAAATCAAAAACAAAAAGACTATGGCTGCCAAAACCATTGCGCCCGGGGCTCGATCGGAAGACGGCGTCCGCAAGGCGGCGAGGACATAGCGAGCACATCGCCGGCTTCCATTGTCGTTGTGCGTCATCATGGTAATTGTTCCTTGCGTATCACATTTTTTTTCTTTCAAATTTATGTAGTAGCCATACCCACTGTTGTATAACTCTAGCCCCCGTTGCGCCCCGCACTGGCGACTCAGGCGGCGGCCAAAAACGGTGGAATGGTTCAGCAGTGTTATTCACAAGACACCCCAAGACACATATATCCTAACATAACGAAGAATGGTTTAGTCCGATACTATGTTTCTTGTGTATTTATATGATAAGTCGATTGAACCCACTAAAGTTATGTTGTATGATGAGAAGTTTGCTATCCTTTCACTAGTGAGGTATTCAGCTTGTAACATCATAAACTTTTGTGATCCAATTGATCCTTCAAATACATTTTTGCTTATTCCAATGGATGCTTATGAAAGCAAGTCTCTACCAACTTTCAAAAGCATCAAAAGTTTTGTGCCTATAACATCATGGGTTTTAGCATCAAGAGATAATCAACCAGGATCTGTAATTAATGGCTCAACAAATTTATTTCATGACATGTCATCATGGTAATACTGAGAATGTGATTTCACTTTCAGTGTTGAGTAAGAGAGGTGATTCTTATGAGGTGGTGTTGAGTGACATTCGCCCGTTGAAAATAGCGACAGATTCAGTTCCTCAAAAGATTTGATAAAATGACACCTTTATTCAGAATGCATTGAAAATAATGTTAAAGAATGAAGATTGGAAGGTGCCAGCCAAACACTATATAGAATTTTTTTCCTGTTTAATTAGACACTTGTTACATTTATTTTCTTTTCAATCTAACACTGTATATGCTTGCATAAAGCTTTGTCGAGTATGAGCATTAAGCGAAACAAGGAAAAGAGGTATGCTACAGATTTGATGAATTTTAAAATACTTATCTTGCACTCCTCTTACTCTCTCCCTATTTGCATACTACTACTAGAGCAGGGCTTTACCTAACTAAAGAGAGTAGTTTCCTCCTTGTGGTCATGAATGAGAGTGACGGGGTAGGGGGTATTTATAACACTTTAGTGTGGGCCCATGGATTCAGGTGATGCATCTTGTGAGGGTGAGAGCATGCAAAGAGGTGGTGGATGTGACAGAACCGCTCGAAATAGCACGCTTCCGAAGGCGCTCGTCTTCTACCAAACACAAAAGCACCCCGAAAGTTGGCTACATCGGACGGTTCCGTTGAGCACACCCCAAGGGAGAACTCGAACAATCCACGTTTTTCATCCAGAATCCAATAATGAGAACGAGTTTACAATACTTAGTCCATTTCATACAACA